AGCGCGTGCTGTGCGATATGAGACGTAGTATGGTACACTCTATTTAACCTGACGCCTAACCGCTACAGTATGCGCTGCGACTCGTCCTTTGCCGCGTCTGCGTCTCTTCCTTCGCCGCGCGGTGGGCCTCTTGGGGGACACCCGAACATACAAACTTCTTCGGCGAGTCTCTCGTAAGTTTTTGTGAACGTATCTCATCCATGAATGTGAGGCCAATATAAAAACTCTAAAGAAGGGGCCTAATTCCGCCGCGTTTGAGGAATTCACATGGTTAGAAGACTAGGGCTGGGATAATCATAGAAGACTAGGGTTGGGATAATCATCAAATGAAACAAAAATGGGCGGAGGTAGGCTGAAACTTGATTTCTATCCATTTGAAGTCCTTTGTAATCTGGGCCGAATCCCGTTCAAGCCAATCAGGACCACCTCGAGGAAGGGCTAATTTTACTTCCTTGTAATTAATTGTATCGGACTCGTATGCATTTGAAAGCCGCTAACATTTCTAATGGAAGCTAGATGCTTGGCGCACTCCAAACTACAAAAGCCAAGCACTTCACCTTTACCGACAAAAATGTCAAGGAGTGATCTCATTTTTCTCACTGACCACCACTCATTCCTCTCTGACCATACTGATGAGCATATGGGGAGGATACTCATTTAATTGGTCTCCGTAAGAGGGTTCATGGGAAACGAGGTGCAAACAACTTCTTTGAATCCCCATCCTTCAAGTAAATTTGGAAGCTTCAATCTTAATGTCAGATTCCAGAAACACCCTCTTAATCGGGGTAATAATCCAAGAATTTTGAGGTGTAATAAGCCAGATACTTCATTTAGACCTAGTTATATAGTAAACATAATATAATCTTTTAGATTAAGAACGTTAACGTATAGGTAATGGGTCCTCTATTTGGATAAACAATAAGGGCTATGAAGGTAGACGCGATCCTTAACCTGCAGTGGACGGCCGCGTTCGTCAAATAGCAAAACCTCTGGCCGATCTTTGGAAAAAAGCACATAACAATCGCAGAAAGGGCGGAAGGGGTGGTGGTTTCCTTGGCGCCCAGGCCTTCACATTGCTGTTTGTCACACAACACTGACTTCACTTCCCATAACATTTCTATTTTCGTCCACAACTGGAGCCGCTGCACTCCAGCAAGTCACCACATCTTGTTATGTTCGCTTCATCAACTCAGTGACTAATGGCCAAAGAATTTCAAAGGGGTACCCATAATCTGACACCCTTATATACCTATACCCTTATCGACTTACAAGGGGTAGACCCTGAATCCTCAACAGAATTTGCTCCACAAAGGCGTAGGTGAAATTCGATTCGGGTTGGTTCGTTTGGCCAATGGCCAGGAGACAAATGCGAGCCTCAGAGCGCTGATTGCGTTTGCTCATCGTGTTTCTCATCACACTAGCAACTGACACGCCACTTGACATCTTCACGTCGACTGAGCTGACCAACGCTTGGACCAATGAAGTTGTTTTCCCATTTGGGCGTCTTCCCATATAAAAGCACCCATGGGACCCATACGCAATGAGCACTTATTTCAGTCCCATTGCTCATTTGGGAACAGTTATATTCCCACTTTCTGATTGTCATGTGAAGGTTCGTTAGGCCCTAGGGACTTGTTGGTGGGCGTAAAAAAGAAGCTGAGAATTCTCCGGAAGCGCTCTGATTCACGGGAGTGGTCGCGCAGTGTAAGTTTCCCCCCTTACGCTCGAATTTCCCATTCCCCCGTCATCGTCTCGCGTATTACACAGATGGAATGGCGATACAATGCCATCGGCCGCCGCCGCCCGACTTTCTTGCCGTGACACTTCAATCGTCTCCGTCTCCTCGGGCGCTCTTTGACGGACCACGACTTCCTGTATTCCCCTCGAAAGTGTCCGTCATTGGGGCGGGGTTCTGCTGCTGCACAGGAATCGATTCTCAGCCGAGCTGCTGAACAGCTTAACAGCTGGGCTCAAGTTGCAAATTCTGGCCCAAAGTGACATCCTCTATCCCTGCTAATTGCCATTGTTTGGCCTCGAAAAACACGCCAAGCCGCTCGTTTGCAGTTCCATTCAGGGAGATCCTTTCACGGCCCAATTTGAGAGAGATGGCCTGGCGACAAGCCATCTTGGGAGTCGACCTGTGAATGAGCCATTAAACGCAGGGAACCGGGCATAGGAGCTAGTTGATTTCTCTCAAATTTGCATATGTGCGACGACCGACCGAATGAGAACGAGAAGAGATAGGGGCGATGGGTGGCAGTGTGTGTGTGTGTGGCCGGCCGGCCCAGTTTGCGACCAACGGACGCTCGTTCTATCGTCCACACGTATGCCGGCATTTTTCTTCGCGTTTCGTCTTGTGCTCGTTCCAATTTCAAGCCTTTTTCTGCCCGTCTGTCGAGGCTCACGTCTCAGTCCAGCCAAAACAAGTCGTTTAGCGACGGCTGGACGCATTATTCTGCTCGTCTTAGCTATCTAAGCTGGTGATCTCTCTCCCCCTGCCTTTCTCTGATGAGTCGCTCTTCAACTCTGAAACTTTTCATCGGTGTCATGTTCTCCTTGTCGGCGGGTTTATTTACCGATCAATTGGGTACCGCCCTGCCCCGCCTCTAAATGAATCGCACCCATCGAAGCGGCCAACGCAACTACCCGTCAAATGTCACCCGCAATGTTGCATTTTGCAGTGTAGCAAGTTCGAACAAATGATGAATCAGCTGCCTTTCCGCCGAGCCACACAGGGCGCTTATCCATCGATCCCTGGGCTATGGAGAGGGCACGATCTGCTAGAAGGGTTCTCCAGTCGTTGTTGTTCCAGTTCCTTGTGTTTTTGTTGTTTCACATCGGCTAACGTGAGCATCGGCTTGTTGTTGACTAGCTCATTCTGCTCTGCCTCGCTCCATCTTTTCCATGGTCCAGCCTTATTTGTGCCTCGCCTGAAAAACTTCCAATCTATCGAGTCCTATTCTATCTCTTTCAGGTAACCTCGAGCAATCACCATGGCTTTCGAAACCAACTATGTGAGTTTTCCATCTACAGGTTCAGATTAGTTTTCCAATTATTTGGCGCAAGTTTACCAGCTAATGGTAAGTAGGAGAGATCGATTTCCGCTGCTGCTGCAAGCAGCAGCACTTCTCCTCCGTCTGCTGCAGTCGCTTTTCGAGCGATTCCTCATGGCTTAGTTTTGCCTCGGGTCCCCGCACAAGCATTGCACTTCTTCGCTCTATCCTACTGTAATTCATGCTGTTCTAGCCGATTCCTTACCGAAGCAAACTGACCGAGCCGTTCGAACCTGGACAGACACTTACTGTGAAGGGAAAGACTGGCGAGGACTCTGTCCGGTAAGCCACACTTTTTATATCGCCGATTAATCGATTTTTTCTCGTTTAATCCATGGATTAGGGGAATTACGGTAAACGGTGTGTTTGTATGCGTGTGTGTTTGTGGAATGTGCTCGTCGCTCTCGCCCCGCCGTCGTCGTCATCGTCGTCGTCGTCGTGGGTTGTTGTGTGGGTATGAGGTGGCAGCAGTGAGGCGGCGGAACCGGTATCGACGACGGCCACCGAGAGAGCGGGCCGTCGGTGTAGAGCGCAGCCTGAAGGTGCCACATTACACATCAGCAATTTGTTGCTGTGCAACGTCGCGTCGCTATACTGCCAAAGAAGTTGTTTACCACCTTCAACAACAAGTAAACACTCGAGAAACAACATCTTGAGTGCAACCTCTCTGAGCTCCTGTCTACTTCCTGTGACCGGCGAAGTTGCCAGAATGCCCGAAGAGTTCCACTGAAGAAGCTGCTGGGAAAGCCAAGCTAAAAAGAGCGACAGGGACAAATTCTCACAAGGGTCAAAGGGTTTCTCTCACCGGCGCCACATCCATATATCATCCCCGGGTGCGCGTTCGGCGAGATCCCGATGAACTTTCTGGACGCAGTTCTCGTTCATCATCCCCGGACTAATTGCAACGTCATCTACAAAGGGGAAAGTTCCCTTCTTGAAGTGTAAGGCTTAAGAAGGAAAAAAGGGGGAGACGTCTCCTGGCGAGCTTTTTCAGCCGTATAGGCTTTTAATTGAGCCATAAATAAAGTTTTTTTTTCGGGTGACACCCTTGAGGCTTCAATAAAATTATTCATGAAATATTGATTTGTTGAAGGAGGTTAAGAGAAAAACCATCCAGCTTCAGGCATGAATGAACCTCAAGGGAAAGGGTTGGCAAGACGAAGAATAGATGGAGAAGGGTAGAGAACGCAACTGCCAAAAGTCGATCAGGAGCGGAATCTCGGGCGAGAGAGGTGTTGAGGTAACTCTGCTAGGAAACTTTTTGTTTGATTCTAAGGAAAATGACACTTCTGGGTAGGCCCTACGCTAGATTTTAGAGCTTATCTTGTCCCTATAAATTTCTCGAATACCTTAAGCTCACGTTAATTGAAATTTTACGGCTTGAAGTAACAGAATCCCTCTTAAAGGCTCCTCACCCTTCCAGACACAGAACAAGACTGTGAGTGGGTAAATGGGCTTACCAAACCTCGTCAATACCTTTTACCCAAGGATTCTCAACCATTAGGAGCGCTGACGTCCTCTGATATGACATCCTTCCGGTCGTCCTCTAGCATCTTATGGTTAGCCGTTCGTCGTCGTTCATCAGCACCATCGTGATTGGCTGAGCACTGGGCCATCTCGGGATCTACCCAGGACCGCAAGCCCCTGCTTGGCCTACGTTCACCAGCCTAGAGGGAAATCTGTGCCTGTCTATCAGCCGGCCGTTTTATTGTCATGAGTCGATTCATGGCTCCATGGGCTGGTTTCTAAGCACCTCTCAGTCTCAGCTCTATAATTGGATGAGCATCGGGCCCTCCTCGTACCTGTCCCTACCACCTCGGCAGTGCTCACTGTCCGATTAGCCGCTTCTACCCGTCGCGCCGTTGGCTCATTACACCATGCTCTCTAGCCGGTGCTATAAGAAGATTGTCTAGATCCAAGGATGTATTAGAGTCTCCTTCTTGCACTCCCTAGTCCTAATCCCGCTTTCGCGGCTTCCTCTTCCTATATCCTGATTCTTGTGCGACTTTGAAACTTGGTTTTGAACTGGGCTTTCATCAGCCGGGCCGTCAACCTGGGCTTTATGCTCAGGGGGTTTCTCGGACCATAACTAGCCATTGCTAGTTTGAAAACATGCCATTTCAGTTTCACCATCAATCTGCACAACTCGTCGGCTGACTTCTCCGGAAACGATGTTCCCCTTCATGTCAGTGTGCGTTTCGACGAAGGAAAGGTCAGTTACGTTTGAAAGAGATTTCACCACATCATCACTTACACAAACAGCCAACGGGGTTTTTTGAGCCGCGATACCGCGGTAGGGAAACGTGGAATTGCGGAAAAAATTCAGATGCAAATCAGAGGTGACAGTAGGTGACAGCCAAGCGATACGTGTCGGTCGTTGGCCTTGAAAGATTAGCGCGATTTTCGGAGCGCGATATTCAAGTGAAACACACACGAAAGCACACCCTGCCTACTACTATGCCATTGACATATGAGGATTTTTACAGATCGTCTGTAATTCATTTGCAAAGGGAGAATGGGGAAAGGAAGAGAGAAAGAGCAATCCTTACAAGAAAGGAGACGACATCGACATCCGTATCCGAGCTCACGACAGCAAATTCCAGATCTTTGTTGACCAGGTATGAACCCTTCCCTCCTTTCTTTGCCTATTGAGAAAAAATGTCCCTTTTGGGTTGGGATTGGCTCGGTATATGAGAAAATTTAAAAGGGCAGATTTTGGTGTCAACCCAACCTTCAGGGCTCAAAGCCTTCTTGAGGTCAGCAGAAGCATTTGTACACTACAATGCCTCCCTTCCCTTCGCTTTTTAGGATGGTACAGCTTGTGTTAACTCCATTCTGAACTTTTGCTCTATTAGGCGATTGCCAGCATCTCTTTTCTCAGAAAAGGTCGACAGAGGAAATGAAGAAGCGCTCGGCGCTTGGAGACGGAGTTACTTAGTTTGATCTTCAGAGGCGCCCCGACACACTTCCGCAGATTAGACTTCGTCAAAGGCGGCCAAGCTTCTCTCCCTTCGAAATGAGCTGAGTGCTCCTACCGGAGTTGATGCGGGGGATAGAAACATCCACCCGAAGACCTGCAGGGTAGTTCACTTCGTTGAGTAGACGAATCCTTGCACTCTAAATATCACAATTACCCTGTCAGCACTCTTATTAGGCTTTATGACCATGGACCTGATTTGTCTATGGGAGACTTCATTTTCTATAAATCACCTCAGAATCCCACCTTCGCCTCGTCTTCCATCTTTGACGTAGGCGACGCCCCCTCGCAGGCTGCCCTTCTTTCTCGTCTTT